AAAAAAAAACAAGAAAAAACCCAAATGAATAAAGTCCACTACCATCTTGTAATGAAGTCCAATCGGATCGGAAAAACTTCAATGCCGCCTCGATTAGTCTTCAGACATCAAGAAACAATACACAGAACCAAAAAACAAACAACAGAGCACAAAATGCAGATCAAAACTACAGCCCCCCCTCCTCCTTAAATGAATCAATGAGCAAATCTACCCAACAAATTCACTTCAATCTTGAAACATTCTTAAACAGCACAAAAAATCACAGCAAATCCTATTGCCCTTTGACTCCCTACAATACTCCGAGGATAAACAAAATATTACAGCAATATGAAACAAGATCTGGGAGCTCAATGAGCTTATGTATTTATTTACACCGCTCTTATTCTTATTCTTTTTCTATTTCTTTTTCTTTTTTTTTTCAATGAAAAATCGGAGAGGTGTAGAGGTTTAAATGAAGTATGAAGAGAGTCAAATCGAGAAGATAAATCACATTAAACCCCTTTTTTGCTCCGCTAAGCAAAATACAATACAAATGGCGTTTGAGAGAAAAATTTTTGTATATTTAAATGGGGAAAAATAAAAATTATTTCTTTTGATTTTCTAGGAAAGTATTTTTCTCTTCTCTTCTCTCCCACGTCGTTAGGGGTTTTTAGACCTTGTCCTAAATTATTCTGTTTAGTTACTATAGTTTATTAATTAGGAAGATGTTCCGTCAAGGTTTGTAACCGTTAAATCAATTATCTTTGAATATGATGATTTAACGGTTATAAATCTCGACGAAATAGTTCTGACTTTAACATTTCTTTATTAGTTATTACAAGCTTGGTCGTTAAATTAATCAAGAACAGAAATCTTTAATGAACTGGAATTCCATTTATGCCCCTGAAAGACAGCCATTTTTCGAATCGGGGGATTGTTGGGCCCAACGGGGCTCGGTATTTAAAATTGTTGGGGCGGTTGGGTTGTTTTACTGTGCTAATTGTGCATGTGTAAAAAAAATACAAATTTCCTATTAATCGGACTAACTGTTACGTGGAAGATTGTAAAAAATCCATAATTATATTATGAATGTCATACTTGATTTTTTAGTTTATGAAATTTAGTTTGGTGTAATAAAAATGTATTTTTATATTATTTTTTTTAGTGTATAAAAAACGCATAGTTATATTATACATGTCATGATTATTGTTTATTGTATAAAATTTTAGTTTAAAAAATACATATGTATACAAAAAAAAAAAAAATATTAAAATTTTCTAGTAGCGATCTTATTAATGTCATATGGTCTTCCGGAGAAACTAATACTAGTGAGAATCCCGTGCGATGCACGAGGGTTCCGTATTTTAGAATATTTTTTCAAAATTTTATTTTAACAATATATTAGCCCGTTGGCCGTTTATATTAATATAAATAATATTTTAACATTTATATTTAATTTTTAATACATAAATAATAATATTACATATTTTGATTAATCATAATATTCAAATAATATTTTATTCAATAAATTATTATCGTATAATGTCAATATTTATGGCACTCATAGAAGTAATTTAATTTTTTATATAATGATAAATATTTATATTAATATTATTTTTTGAAGTAATTAATTTAAAAATATCTAAGCAAATTTAATGTTTATTAAGAATATGATCATATAGACTGTAAAATAAAATGGAATGAACAAACCTAAATTGAACAAACCCACCATTTAAGGGAGCATTTGATGTCGCCTGATTTTGTGGTAAAAGAAAATTCAAAAAAAAAAATCTCAAAGTGACATGCAATTAATTTTGGCGAATTTTTTGCTTACTATTTCTAATAAATAGTTATTCTTATTGTATATATACAGATGGGAAAAAAAAAGAAAGATTGCCCACATATATTGTATGCTTGTTATTTTATTTAGGAAGTTGGTAACACAAAACTTCTCGACCGGCTGGAACTTGAGTAATCGCCTTCCTTCTCACCGGTTGAACGTCGTGTACCTACAAAGAACTCTCACACCGGAGGGGTTTTCCGGTGAAGAGCCTCCGAAGCTTAAGTCAGTGTATGTTCAATCAATTCTCAAGAGTAAGTAGTAGAATGATCGTGTTGAAGAAGAAAGGCTCACCCCCTTTATATAGGGGTGAGATACCTGACCTAGGGCTGCCCGGATTTGATGAGCTGTCTGCCCGAACTGCCCGTCCGTACACACCAAACGCGTGTGTCAGAGGTAGCCGTCGCCACTATCGCCTGCACCAATCCTCTTTGGACGCGTGTCCTCCTGCACATGGGGTAGGCTGTCAGAGGTGGTTATCGCTATCCACCACTGCCTTCTCGACACGTGTCCCCCTGCACATGGGGTAAATATTCTTCTGGAATTCTGTCAGAGGCTCCTTCACGCGCCTATGACTAGGCCGAACAGCGTGGTGTTAAGTCCTCGAAGTAATCGACCTGTTGAGGTCGAATAGGTTGCTCGATCGTGTATCTGGTCGAAGGATAGTTTGGTCGACTGGTTGACTGCTCGATTTCTTTGACTTCCTCATAATACGACCTCCTCGACCGGTCAACAGACCGGTTCAGCCTTGTGGGTATAATATCCTATATCATCTAGTCCCCCCCACTCTGTCGAGTCTGAATGACTCGATCTAAGAGTGAATTAGTATTTATCGTCCTTCTGGATGGTTCGTCGTTAGATATCGACCAGCTGGTAAGCTTCCCGCTCATTTTTTCGAATAATTTCCCATTAATCACTAGAAATAAAGTTATCTGCTTTAAGTCCTTTTTGTCGCACCCGTTTTTTGCCACGCGTCACGTCTGTCATATGTGTCAGGCGCTTTAATTATTGCGCCTCCTCGCCTAACGCGTCCGTTTTGAGCTTCGTGCAAATTAATACTCCCCATCGTTGGATCTACCTTTAATCCGACGGCCCTTATCTTTCCACCCTTCAATCTCCAAAGTATAAATTCCATACTTAGCGTATTTTTCAACTTTTTCCACCCTTTCAATTTCCGAATTACTCTGTGCCCAGAATTCTCTATGCAAAACACCCTTACTTTCTCGACGGTTTCTCTTGCGCTCTTTCGAACTTCCATCAATTATCAATCCACGGTTATGAGTAAGTCTCTTCACACTTGAATTTATATTCTTTATAGTTTTATTTTGTGTATTCTTGGATTTTCAATATTGGGTGCTCTTGATCTGTCTGCTGAATTGTTTCAAATTGGCTTGTCTTGTGTTGAATTTGTGCTTGGAATACTCTTGTTTGTCTATTGAATGTTGAGGATTTTGTCTCTCCTTTGAAAATTTTTGAAATTTCTGTCCCTTTACTTCCCGAATTCTCCTCCTGGTTTTTGGATTGCTCTCCCCTAAAACCCTAATCTTTCTTCTCCCCTCTTTCTTCTTTGCGACAGCTTCTTTTTGATATTGTTTTCTGTTTTTGTTTTGATTTCCTTTTCAGACTCTGAGACATCCTCTGATTCAGTTGAAATACTACCCTCTGCGCTCGAAGCTGTCCCTCTCTCTATCCTTTGCCCCGGCGATACAATTCCTACTCGCGTTTTTACGGCCCGCGTCGCTTCTTCAAACTCCGGGGATACCATGGATAACGTTCCTCTCCGCCATCGTCAACCTCCCCTTGGTGCGTTAGACGAGCCAGAGGAGGACGAGGTTGTTTCTCCGCAGCCCACTGCTCCTCCCTCTTCGAGTTCTCCGCCCAAACAATCCTCGACCAAAAAATTTTCCAAGCGCTCTTCTTCTACTTCTCTTTCTCATCCTTGGTTCAACCCCGACAAAATCGGCCAACCTCTTGGTTGGGCGTTCCTCAGATCCTCTCCCTCTGACAAATTCGACCATCCTCCACGAGATTGTTACACTTTCTTCGAAATCCAGTTTAAACTTGGTCTTTGTTTCCCTCTAAGTCCTGATCTTCTTCAGATCTGCGAGTGGTTCGGGCTTCCTCTTCATCAACTTCCCCCTAACGCTATTCGTTTCATGACCACTTTCGTCATTCTTTGCCACGTCCACCTTGGTCGATTCGACCTTGCCTTCTTCCATTACTGTTATGTCCCTTCCAAACAAGGTCGAGGCATGTACTTAAAGAGTCGTAATGGTGCTCATTTCATCAACGACGTCCCCTCCAATCTTCCTAAATGGATCGATCGGTTTATTTTTGTCCATCCTGCTGAGCCTTTCTCTTGGCCTTCCATCCCTTGGGTCAAGGAGGTTCTTCAAGAAGTTTCTGCCCCTCCTTCGAACCCCCTTTTCGAGCAACGGGTCCATACTTGGAATTCTAAGACCGTTGCATCAGAAACGCTCCTCAAAGACGAGAACCTTCTCCACCATTGTGGTCTTCTCACCCACAAGACTTGTCCTCCTCCCACCAACGAGATCCTCGATCTCATTCGACTTGAAGATGATCCAGGTAGTAATCGAGCAGATTAGCTGAATGTTCGTGCGTTTCCTTATTTTTATTCCGAGTGATTATTACTGACCTCGAATATGATCTATATTGTGATTTTTTCGCAGTGGTGCCCAGTTTCAACTTCCCTCCGAGGAAATCTCCTCTGAAAAAGAAATCGGGGGTTGTCGCTGGGTCGAGCGGCGACAAGGTCGATGGGTCGGTTAGCTCTGGTGGGTCTCGACCAGAGCCGCCACAGCAATCGCCCCCGCGGCAGACTCCGCCGCCTCTCCACCACTGCCCAAGGAGACCCAACAGCGACCAGAGCGGCAGCCTCAACAGCCGCAACAACAGCAACAACAACGTCCACTACAACCTCAGCCGCCGAAGCAGCCAGGGCAAACTTCCCAGAACCCTCAACAAAAATCCATTTCTTCTTCAGCCGCCAAGTCTTCGACCTCATCCAAGGTCGATGATCGTCAGAAGGTTGTCGACCGTCAACACAAATCTGGCGACTGTCAAAGGACCACTGATCGTCAACACCAGGTCGACGATCGCTCACAAAGAACTGACGACCGCCAAAAAGTCGACAGCCGTCAGAAAACCGATCAGCAAGCTCCTATTCCCAAAGACTCCGCTTCTTCCAAAGTCATGGACAAGTCTT